TTAGGAGTGATTTATAGGTAGTCTTCCAAAAGGTGTACAAAATAGGTCGAGAGAAATTAATAAGAGGAATAATCCATCTTGACCCACCAAAACCGCGAGTGAAATAGATTAACAATTTATTGATCCATTAGAGTGTACTAAGATTAATATAGAATAAACTTACGAAACAAATATAATAAAATTTGGTACTGATAAGTTCATATTTTGATATATTTTATGACTTATATTTATACACTTAAACTTTATTTTATATATATTTACACTAATTATGTTATTAATTGTTGCAGTTTAGCTAGAAGTTATTATTAGTGCATTATGGAGATATTCTAGAGAAAAATTAAATATTTTTAGTCCTTGTTGTGTTATGTGAATCTGAGTTTGAATTTAAAATTTAAATTTAGATAAAGATTTGGAGCAGTTTTTAATTAAAATTTTAATTGTGGATAAAACTGATTTAAAAAAATAGAGCTCAACCAATTGAAAACTCAAGACACAGTCTATATAAAGAAGCCTTATGCTCCACACTTGACACTTTCACTTCTCTACACACCTTCTTAGTTATATCCAAACTCATCTTTGAGAGTCATTGGAGACTATTGGCAAGGACGACGAGCTTCCATTTGGAGTCCAAGCAAGCTATTGAGCACCCCTTCAGAGAACAGAACTCTCTTCGTAAGCAAGTGATTGAGCGCCCCTTCAGAGAACGAGAACTCTCTTAGTCTTCTACCTTTTTGAATTTTTTTTGTTTAAGTTTTCCTTTGTGATTATGGGTTTATTTATCACGTTTTTCGTAGTTTATTTTGTTATGAGTAACTAAACCCATAGCTAGGGCTATGGTGGATCCTACTACAAACTTTATGTGATTTTTACTTTAATGTTGGTATTGGTTTTCCTTTAATGTTTAGTTTTATTCTATTAGATTGTATTGTGTATGTTAAGATTTGATCACCCTTAGCATCCCATAGTTAGTTGCATTGTAGGCGATCGTACCACGTATAATTAACAGAACTATAGGATAAAATGAGATAAGGGGCTAGGTTAATCACACTCAATTTTTCTTTTAGTAGTTATTGAATTAACAAACTCATATGATCTTCATGTTTTCTCAGCCAATTACCTTGAATGATCATTGGGGGTGTTTGCTTAGGGAAAAGAATATTGACATTGCATAATCATTGGATATTAATAGAACTAATTATGAGTGATTGACAAATATTTGAATACCAATATCAGGATTAAATTAATTAGAATATAAAGAAGTGTAGTAGGTGAACCCATAAGTCCTAAGCTCATCTCATCTGATTTTTCTCATACATTCTATTACTGTTCTTTTAATTTATTGTTTATTACTTTTTGATAGGTACACTTGCCTACGAACAGGTACCTTGACTGAGACTTGTTAGAAGAGAGACATATGTGATATAACCACTAAGTGTTAAGCAATGGAGTTAGGTAAAATGAGAGGAGACTTAAAAATGATAAGTTGTGTGTGTGGTCTTGAAGAGAGGCGCAAAGGATGATGTGCTCACTATGTTGAATTGAAAATGATGTTAATCTAAGTGAAAAGGATTAAAAATGTAGTGTGCAATCATGCATCATAATCATAAATGAGAATGAGGCTATAGTTAGCACAACTATGAAATGCTTTGTGTTAGGTTCATGGCAAACCTTGAGTGTAGCAAAGGGAGATGACCCAATGGTGCAGAGTAACTCACTGTGGTTGAGTCAAATCGCCAACAAACCCTTACTAATCCTGATATGAACATCCATTACTAATATCTTGGTAGGTCTATTCATGGATGATGCCCTTGAGGAGTGTGCGATTGATAAATGTTTTAATTGAAAATGTGTTGGGATGTGATTAGTAGGGAATGAAGACTTCTGATCGCCTTGAATATGAAATTGGTCGACTGATTGACAAAGTGACTCTAGGATTCCCATGCATTACATACAAATAATTAAATAAGATTGAACTCCATAATTAGATTGCATCATGCATCATTAGCATTCATTTCCTGATTTTATGTTTGGATTCCTTTTAGACATGTGCTAATACTATGGCTATCTTGGATTGACTGATTTGATGATTCCCTTCTAGTTATTCATTGCTTGATTGATCCTTGATTTCATGGATTCACCCTTTTGTGTGCTTGACATGTCTATTTGTTGTATGTATTGTTTATTGTATGTAGATAGGACACAACATGATCAAGGTCTGGGTATTTTTGAGGGAGGACAATCTATGAATCTATGACGATAACACCCACTAGAGCATTTACAAGGGCTAGCTAAGATGACCCTTGGTTTCGCTTTTGAGTGGTGTTGGAAACCTCAATACACCACTGACATACCTGTTGAGATTATTTTTCCTTTACCTCTCTATGCTACCTCAGTACCCTTTCTCCTTATATCACTTGCAACTGCACCCGCCTTCATGAATATTGACAACATGGCCCCTAACCTCAACCTAAACAAGAGCCCCAGTATTCATTCGCCTCAACCACCCTCGCTTCCTCCTAAGCTTAAATAGGTAGACTTTTATCTATGTTCTACATGTTATAGACAAATTTTTCTGTCTCTAAATGCATTAATAAAACACAACGTATCTATATACCTCATTACAAAGAAAATTTTTTATCTGTAACTTCATTAATGAAACACAATTTTTATTAATTGAATTCAAACGGTAAAATATGTTTGTAATAAAGTATATGCAACGACAAACTTATGTTTAATTATTAGCTTAAACAAAATACTAGTTTAGGTGAATGATTTTTAGCTTAAACTAAAAGTATTGCGCTTAGGCTAATTTTAAGTTGAAACTTGAAGTTCTCTTGTAATACCTAAATCGCTTAAGCGCATGAATACTAACTGAAGCAAAATTGATGCATAAAGCATTTATTTGAATGAATATTAAGGCTAAAGCTAGATATGAATCGCTGAAGAGAAATTTTAATGTATTATTGCGCCTAAGCAACTGGTATACCGCTTAAGCGATTTTTACATTTTTTACAAAAAAAGCCTCCCTGGTTGCAGATAATGAAACTACACACCCAACTCACTGATTGGAAAAATTGTCATTAAGTCATGACATGCCACATTTTAAGAAAACAATCACTTGAATGATATTTTTAGGTTAAGCAAAATTATATTAATTTAAGAAAATTTTGACAAAATTTTTATATTTTTCACTGTCTAAAACTAGCTTAAGCATATCAATATTAACTTAAATAAATTTTGAAAAATATTTTACATTTATCATTTTCTATTATTTACTTAAACTAATGATTATAGGCTTAAGAAAATTGTGTCCAATTTTTTTAAAATTTATTAGTGATTCATTATTTATTATTCGCTTAAGCAAATAAATATTAATTTAACAAAAAGTAAAGCAAATGGATTCTTTGTATTATTTTTTTTTATTCGTTTAACAAAATCTCTTTATACATTATTTTTATTGTAATTACACCAAAGTACTAATATCTAAAATAATTAAAGATGAATATATGATATTTTTAAATTTAATTAATTCTACTTACAAAGATGATAGATCAAAGTATAACAATTCAAACTCTAAAGAGATTATGATTATTTAAGTTTAAATTTAAGGTAGATTTAGAAAATAAATTTGCATGACAATATTCTAATAGAAAATTTGATCTCATAAATATCTCTTTTCATATTTCTATCAAATAAATTCTAACCACAACTACTAAATCTATTGTTGAACTAATTATTAAAAACATCCAAAAAAAAATTAAAAAATGATAGTAAATTTAAAAAATATATAATTAAATTTTATTTCAATAAACAATTATATTATTCTTGATCACTATCTATCTTTATTGAACAATTATATTTTTCTTGATGACTATCTATCTTATCTATCTTAGTAATAAAGAACCTATTTTAAATATCTAAAAAATTAAAATTTTAAATTTATAAAATTTATTAAAAATTAAATTATAAATATTATAATTTTTAAAACTTACTATAACAGCATGTTATTTTGTTATAATTTATTGGTGAATCAGCTATCTTATCTTTAACCTTCACTAATAAAGACATCAATACTTTTAAATAATAGTTTTATTATTACAACATGAGAATTTGTAAGTTATTTTTTCTGTTGAAAGTTGAAAGGCTCCGCATTCACAACTTTACCCGCAAATATCATCAACTTTCATAATTTTAAAGTTACCTACCCTTTATTGTTATAGATAATTAAGAATTACGGACTTTAACTTCTAAATTACTGTAAAATAAAAAAGAAATTAAGATAATTTTGCTTACCATAATATCGAAAAGTTCAGCCTTAAAATTACTAATTAAACTAAAATAGCTTCTGTTGTAAATAAAATTTTATTTTAAATTATAATTTACAATTTTATCGATGAAAGTTTTAAGACAAACTTCAATTTGTTCATTTACTTTTTCAAAATTAACATGTATTACCTTATTTTATAACAATTTTTATAAGAAATATTACAAATGATAAAATTTTTATCGGAAAAACTATAGTAATTGAAAGTATAATTTTAATATCGATTCACTAATGGAACTGTATTATAAAAAAAGTCTTTAAAATATAAACCTAAATATAACCGCTATAAAGGACATGTACTCAATGGACCTACTATTACAAGATACCTCATTTTTATTTTTTTTCCAGTTTAGAGCATTATTACCCAACTCTGCAATTATTGAGGTTGTTATTAGCTGCAACATCAAAGGATAAATAAGGAATCAGAAAGAGAAATGAAAAACTTGCATAAATTTATATCAATCTGAACCAAGTTGAATTTATATTCAGGACTTCAAAATAACACATCACAGGAGAGTCAATTATATTTAGCACATAAAAAATTATATCTACCTTTTCCCATCAACAGAGGAAACAAAAAACAACAGGGTAGGAAACTACGTTATGAAAAAAAAGCGTGTATTTTATATATAAAGAAAAGAGAAATATACATATGAATTAAAGGTATAGATGAGTGTCATCCAACCAATACATAAATGGCATATATAATCCCAGGTATGTATCCCAACATGGTCAGCACCAGATCTATCCAGAACTCCACCTGCATTGTTTCCAAAAACAAATTGAAATGAAATTAATCAAACCACAACCATCAATTACTCACCATCGAACCTAAAATATGAGATTAAAAAAATGAGAGATAAGATAGAGTGAGATTAAATACACCACAGCCATAGCGTAGGAAAACACCAACAGGGGGTAGCAGTATTGCTAATATCACTTCCAGAAAGGTTTCTGAACCCATTCCTTTCTTTTCTCTTTATTTTCAAATTTGTTAGCAGTGAAAGGGGAAAGAAAACCAAAACAGTTATGGCGGAGCGATGTTTTTGAAGCAAATAAGAACTGTTACTGTGGAGATTACCGTGGCACAATTATAGGCACACTAGATGACACGTGTTACCCAACTCACAGGTGTTCCTGTCTCCTTTACCCACTGGAATGAGAAAGCATGTATATGTATATATATCATTATTTCATGTTTTCGAGAATATTTACTATGTTTTGTATACAGATAAAACAATATTTTTTTAATCTAACTTTACAAATGCATTTTCTGATTTTGTAATCCATCGTTAATATTTAGTGTAGAGATAATTTAAAAATTAATTAAATATTAACATATTTTCATTTTCAACTGTTGGTATTTGGAATCAACTCCAAATTCTTTTTTCATTTAAAAGTCCCATAATTCAATTTCGGCCTATTGAAGATTGAAATATTTGGGCCTCACTACACAGCAACCAGAACGGCACTCGACTAAGGAAAGAGGTATATTTCCTTTGGTACACCCATGAATTTAAGGTTCTTCTGCGACCTTCTTTATTTAGGGAATAAAAAAATGCACTCTCCAAATTCTTCGTTCACTAAAACAAGAGAACGTGTGATTATTTAGATCAAGTAACAAATTTTCAAATTTCACTTGAAAATTAATAAGATCTTTTTTACATCAGTTTTAATAGTAACCAATATAAAAAATAATAATAATAATTTGTTTCAATTTTATGAACTCAGAGTTACCATTTTCACGTAACATTTAGCAAGTGTCTATTGTTATGTCTCACGCTACCTTATGGAACATGCTTTTGTGTTCGCTGTGAAAACTACAATTTTATTTAAACATTCTTATATTTATTTTTGAATATCTGAATTTAATTATTACAAAAAGAGAATAAAAATAAAGTATTTAAAAAACACAAAATTTGGTCCTAATAAAATGAAAAAAAATTAGAATTAACTCAAAAACAGAAAATAAAACATGATAGAAATTAAACTCATAAATCAATGTCGGATTCATACATGAGAAAAGAAAAAATTAAAAAATTTGACTTTTTATGAAATCAATATAAATAGTAAAATAAGGAATTTGAAAGGGGGAAGCAGGAAAACTTTTTAGGGTAAAAATATTTTTTATGACTTTGTATTTTTAAGGGAAGAAATCTGAAAAAAAAAAAAGATAAAATTTTTAAGTGAAAGTTTTAAAGATTCAGATTACAAGGAGAAACAAAATACAAAAAAGATAAAAGAAGAAAAAGAGAATAGGAGAAAACATAATACAAGAGAAGGAAAAAAAAGAAGAATAAGGAGAAGAAAGTAAAAATGAGAAGGACATGAAATATAATAACGTCAACTACCATTATCTATTACTTAACTTACCCTATCACTTGTTATTGTTATATTATTAAAGTAAGCTACATTTCTTTCTATTCTACATATTAAAATTTACGTTCGAGATGAATATAAGTGTGAGACAGAGTAAATATTATAAATTATATTTTTATTTTTTTAAATATGATTATTATTACTTAATATTATTCTATTAAATGTGATTTGATGGAGGCATATACCTAAATCACATTCAGTTATTTATTTATTTTTAAATATGATTATTATTATTTAATATTATTTTATTAAATCTAATTTGACTTACTTTAAAGGAAGCGTGACTGCGTGAGGCTCGGGTGGTGTGTATCTCTCTGCATTGCACCTACTCTTATCATTAAATCATTTCACATATTATTTTATTTTTTTATTTCTTTAGTTTTCGTTTTTTGGTCGTTTGGGCCTTAAATATTTTTAGCCTGGGCCGGTCTTTTTTTTGTCATTGTTTCAGCCCTATAATTTTATTGTTTTATTTTCTAAAAATGGATTTTTTTTTATGTCATTTTTATTATATATCTTATTTTATTTATTCTAGTTTATATTAAATAAAATTATTTTACTTATCTTTAAATTTAGTTCTCCTAATTTTATTTATTTATTTTTTCAAGTAGTAATTATTAAAATAATAATAAAATATGATTAAAATTAATTTAAATATAATATTTTTTTAATTATATTATATTTGAGTTGTACTTTTAATTAAAAATTTTATTTCATTCTAATGTTAACAATAAATTATTTCTAAAATTTTTATATTATTTCATTATTTATATCTTAATTATTCTGTTAACTATTTATTCTTTAAAATTATTATTTTTTATTTTATTTATTGTATATTTGTATGATGTTGATGTTATTTAATTTTATATTTATAATTTATTTTATTTATAAATAAATAAATAAATAATATAATTTTATCAATTTATAATATTGATGTATGACTTTTCTATCATAATATAAATTAATAAAGTCGATGTACATTTATATTACATAGACCTTATTCAATATTAATTTATTATATTTTTTTAATTAATTAAATAATTATTTTAATAATTAATCAAGATTTATTTTTCTTTAATTATTAACATACTAATAAATTATAAATCAAAGTTGTTTTATTAATACAATAATTTATAATACTAATATATAACAATTCTACCTTTATATATTTTATATTGTTAAAATTTATATATATCAACATTAGTTTAAATTTTATATATCATCATTATATGAAAAAATATCTGACTTTAAAAATTAATTAATTATATAATTGTTTTTATTTATTAAGATTTATTATGTAAAACATTCTTTTATTTAAATTATTAAATAATGCAAGTTATTACGACTCAATCGTTTTCATCTCTAATTTGATCATATATATATATATTAATTATTAATTTAAGTATATTTTTTATAATTTTTTCTATAATTAATTAAAAATATACCCTCTTTAATGTTTCTTTATTATAAAAATAATTTATTTTATTTTATTTTATTTTGCTATTAAGAGGGGCTAACAAAGCCTAACAAAACAAAGAAAATTACATAGAGGATCTAAGAGTCCAAGTACCTAAAGAATCTAGACTCAACAGGAAATAAGGAGTGAGAAACTCTATTAAAACAAAAAATTGAACACTCTCCTCCAAGCCTATTTTAGCAAGCATATCCACGCATTGGTTAGCCTATCTCATAACATGGCTAAATCTAATGAAAGGAATATATTTAATCAAGTCCCTAATATCCTTAATCAGAGGATACAAAAAGTGATTACAAGACAGGAAATTTAAAACAAGGGAGAGGGCCTCCTTAGAGTTAGTTTCAACCCAAATGAAGTGAATATTGTCTTGAATGACAAGTTGCAACCCCAAACGAATACCCCATAATTCAACATCAAGGGTAGAGCAAAGGTAAAGACTGCAATGGAACTCAACTTGAACATAGCCTTGATTGTCCCTAATCAGTCCTCCACAACCAGCTCTTCCATAGCTTTGAGATACATCTCCATCCACATTGAGCTTCAACTGGCTAGCCGGGTATCAGAACCATATTTGTGATTATCCTTGTAGCAAACCGTAAAATAGTTAAAATCACACATAATCTTATAGACCAAAGACTTGGCTGAAATAATAGAATTTTGAAAAATGACAGATTCCTTCCAAATATGCCATATGATAATGCCAAATAATATATTCCAATGAGAAATTTTATGGTGGTTATTCTTTGACAAATTAACTAATAACCAATTACAGAGGCCATTGCTAAAAAAAGGAACAAAGACATCAAGGGAAATAAAGTAATTCTTGATTTGATTTGCAAACCAACAATCATGGAGCACATGCATTATTGTTTCAGGTGCGTCATTACACCTAGAACAAACAAGACAGCGAGTCATGCCTCTAAAGAATCTTTCACTATTAGTTAGAAGTTTACTATGTGCCAGTTTCCAGAAAAATATAGCAATTCAAGAAGGGCCATCTCGATTCTATATCAATTTAAAGATATTATTATTAATATTAGTATTCAGGTTCGAAGAGTATAAAAGAGAAAAAACAGTCTTAATAGAAAATAAACCATAATTTGATTGATTCCAAAAGGAAAAATTTTAGCCTTTAGAAATATCAGGAGGTCAACCTAAGATATAATATCATAGATAGGGGCAGGAAGCTGACCCTTAATCCTTTCCCAATCCCAAGAACCATGGGAAAAAAACATAAAGACAGGAGAATCCAAGTTTTCCTTATTAATTAGATGAACAACATATTGGCCTAGATCTTAAATATAGGGAATCCAGTTATCTTTCCAAACTTTAATGGTTAATCCATCATTGACAGCCCATCCTAAACCTTTAGAAAAAGAATCCCAAATGGAAACCAGAATTTTCTAAAGGTAAGAACTCTGCTAGGAGTGACCTAGATAGGGATTTCTACCTAGGGCAAAATTATATTTCTTACATATAACTTGAGCCCACAAATCATTAGGACATTTAATAAGCCTCCAGAGCAACTTCATCATATAGGCATTATTAAGGAGGAAAAGATCATTAAATTCTAAACCTCTACTCAACTTAGGGTTACAAATTTTGTCTCAGTTAATGAGGTGGCATTTTCTTTTGCCAAGGGATCCCCAAATGAAATTTCTGCAGATTTTGTTAATTTTTTACAAACAGTGTTTGGGATAACCATGGATTGTATTAAATAAGCAGGAATGCTCATTAGACATGACTTGGTCAGGGTGACTCTACCAGCCATGGAAAGTGAATTCAACTTCCAATGAGATAGTTTTTTCCTAATTCTATCCATTATAAAGACAAAGTCATGTCTAGAGGGTTTTTTGTGACTGATGGGAATTCCAAGGTATCTGTCAAACAAGGAGGTAACTCTAACACCTAACCTAGTGCTAATATCATGAGAAAGAGCCGAGTCAGTGTTCTTAGAGAAAAATAAAAAGGATTTATCATTATTTATTTTGAAGGCCAGAAGCTTATCAGAAAGTAGAGATAATCTCATGAATTATGTTGGCTTGGTTCATGTTAGCCTTTGCAACTAGGAGAATGTCATCTGCAAAGAACGGGTGAGATATTCTATG